TCATATTATTTTTTTGTTTTATTTTATGCTCATCAAAAATACAGTAATATTGTGAAATACTATTAATTTTTTAAAAACCGTTTTTATTTTACTATATTTAAAAATGTGATTTATTCATGTGATGCAAAGCTGAATGTTCAACATCATTGAGCAAGATTTATTGATGATTAAAAAGTTTAAAACAACAGCATTTATTTGAATTAGAAATCTTTTGTTATATAATAAATGTCTTTACTGTCACTTTTGATCAGTTTAATTTATCCTAAAATAAAACATTATATAACCCCAAACGCGAATGGTTGCGTGTGTGCGATTCTAAAGATAACTTTACATGAAGTTTAATGTCCATAGCAATTATGACACTGTGTTGGTGTTAATGTGCGAGCACATTTCAATGCATGCATGCTCATGATATTATGTGCAAATCTCTGATGGTATAACACAGTTCGTAATGTGATATATGAGCTGGTACTCGGCTCTGTCTGCCGTAGCCTGTGGCGTGAGTCGGGTTGAGTGATTGTGGTCATTTCAGCAGACAGAGAGACAAGCGTCCCTAGACCAGGCTGGGGAGGGACGGGCCCAGCGCCCTGCTGTATTAATGGCAGCGCCGTGCCAGATTGGACGGGTCCATCTAATACAGATAAATCATCATTACAGGAGTGTGGGGGTGGATGGGGTGGGGAGTTGCTTTGGCAGTCAGAAGAAAAAAAAAGGGGCTTTCATTTGTGCCCAGGATCTCTGTAAACTCATTCATCATACCAGCTATGTTACACTCCCACCCCTCCACACCAGTCCCACCTCTCTCTTCTCGCTCTCATCCCTCCTGCTCCTCCAGAGCAATACCTCCCAGCTCTGCCATCTCTTAGGAGGTTATGATACACTCCCTCTTCTACTGTGTTTAAAGACAACATGGAATTTGCACTGCAGTTATGTGACTTGACTCGAGTTGCAAATTTAAGGACTTGGGACTTGCTTGACTGAAAAAGAAAGAAAATTCTATGAATTTGACTAAAATTGACATGTGACGGAAATTGACCGTATTCATAAAAGGAGATTTGGTGTTGTACAATTGGCAAAACCAGGATATCTGACTCGACCATCATATCCTTAAACTTCATTCTCCATTTCAAATGCTTAAGGCTTTTGTTGCAAAAAGCTGGGGAATTCATATATATATATATATATATATATATATATATATATATATATATATATGTGTGTGTGTGTGTGTATAATATATATATATATATATATATATATATATGTGTGTGTGTGTGTGTGTGTGTGTGTGTGTGTGTGTGTGTGTGTGTGTGTGTGTACATAACGCTTATTCTTTTCTTGATTATGCAATATTATCAAAACATTATGAATCTATTCAAACAACTGACAAATTGTGCACATAAGACTAAAGACAATTATTGAGGGAGCAGACAGGGTAAATTTTTATTTCATGTTGTATTTTAAAGATGTTTTTGTCTGACAGTCACGTTTCTTAAAATTACTGGAAAGAATGGTTCAACCTGATGCAATCAAAATGATTATGTATAATTAAACATGGAGATATGAAATTGCTGTGAAAAAAAAAAAAAAAAAAAAAAAAAAAACTTGTGACAGATGTGTCATGAAATGGAAACTGTACTGTTCTGTAGGGCTGGATTTTGATTCACCACCATTATGGACTGTGTTTTTCCTTTTTATCTTGTTTTCTCAAAATTATTTATCGAATCGTGGTGTTGTGTAGGAAGTTACATTTATCCTGTGGGTGCCTGCTCACATTAATCTTGCATTTAACAAATATGAATCATGCAAGAGGCATTACAAGAAGAATGGAAGTAATTCTAGTGAAGTGGAATTGCTTGAATGAACGAGTCCGCTACAGATGGCTTTTTATGACTGCTTCTTTATTATTTGTTCTTTGCGTTTCCTGCTTTATTAAATTAAACCTAAATCTACTGAATATTAGTGGGACATTTAAAGGGACCTTTCACCCCAAAATGAAATTTATGTATATCATTGACTCACTCTCATGTCGTTCCAAACCTTTATAACTGACTTTCTTTCTCCCCAAAAGAAGTTTTAAACAACTGGTGGTTGTTTTCCAGGCAATTTTAAGGTGGACCGGAGCTTTTTCAACGTTCAAAAACATTGAAAAAGCCTCAAATGTGACTCATATTCAAAGTCTTTCTGAGAGGATTAGACTGAAATCTATGCTCTCTTTGCTCCCTTTGCCCATTCCATGAGAGAAGGATCAATTTCCAGTTTGTGAACGAATCATTCTTTTGAACCAAATCTTTTCAATGATTTGCTGATGAATTGGACTGAAAAAGCTCAACTCGCTGACCGTTTTGCAGCGATTAACAGCTTGCTGGAAACTTACATTTTGGTCACAAAATCTATCATATGATTTCAGAAGACTATATGATGTCACATGGGACACTTTTATGGTGCTTTTATGGCATTCCAGTCCATATTATGTAATGGCATAGAAAATAGTGAACTTTTTTCTTCTTTTTTCCTTGTTTCATTTTCAGGTTATCAATTTCTTTTAGATTTATTTCAGCTGTGTTTTACTTTGCGTCACATACTGGAGAGATTATACTGTTTTGGCAACATTTTGTGCATTGATTTTTACAGCCCTCAAGAGTCCACTTATAAACCTTGTATTTGTTTTCCTCTCCCACGGCTCTGCCACCTCAACGGAATTCTGGGATAGCGTAGGATGGTTCAATCGGTCAACCTGCTCTGTTAAAAGGTAGAAATTACCCACAGGGTCGTGCGGTGGTGTGCCTGTTATCCAGCTTTAACAGTGAACTGAACGGTTCAAGCAGCAAGCAATCACGTACGGGCAACATGACCCTACTTTTACCTCACAGCTGTCCACCGCTGGGACCAAGGGATTGGACCAGTATTAAAGAGTCAGGCTTCTAACCGCATGGATCGTGTGTTTGGACAGCTATGTTTAAAATGAACATTTGAAAAATGATTTACTCACCCTAGTTTCTGTTCTGTGTGATTCTTTTTCATATACAACCCAAAAGGACATGTTAGGTTGAATGTTGATGCTGCTCATTCCCATACAGTGGCCATCAATCTCCAAAAAGGACCTAAAAATGATCATGAAAGTCTTCTAAGGCCCTACAATAGCTTTCTATTGTAGGAAAGTACCAAAAAGTTCATTATTAATCATTTGAAAGTCTTGCCCTCAGCTACAGCTGTCAAATCTCATTCATGTTTCCTATTCAAATAATCTATGTGAAGATGAAGGAATGAGATGAGGCTGAGTAAGTGATGACAGAATTTTCATTTTGGGGAGAATTAACGTTTTATCTATTCTCTTATTGTAGTATTTTTCAACACTTAAAAAATCTGTACCTACTGTATCTCACAAAAGTGAAAGCAAACATTAGTATACCTTCTCAAGGGATACTATAGACATGATACTTTTTCTGCTTTACTGTCCTCTGAAAATAACTCTCAACATACCGTACAACCATTATTGTGAGAATAGTGAGTACACCCTAAGTGAACATGTCAAAACTGTAACCAAAGTGTCAATGTTTTGTGTGAGCACCATTGTTATCTAACTGTGCCTTAATCCTGGCATGGAGTTCACCAGAGCTGCATAGGTTGTTGTTGGGATCCTCTTCCACTCCTCCATAATGACATCATGGAGCTGCTGGATGTTAGACACACAGGGTCCTTCTACACCTTCCGCTTGAGGACGCCCCACAGTTGCTCAATAGGGTTCAGGTCTGGAGAAATACTTGGTCACTCCATCACCTTCAGCTTCCTCAGCAAGGCAGTTGTCATCTTGGTGGTGTGTTTTGGGTCGTTATCATGCCGTTCGGCTCAGTTTCTGAAGGCAGGGTATCATGTTCTGTTTCAGAATGTCACATTACATGTTGGAATCCATGTTTTCCTCAATGAAACGCAGCTCTCCAGTACCAGCAACACTCATGCAGCCCCAGACCATGATGCTACCGCCACCTTGCTCGACTGTAGGCAAGACACAATGTTCTTAGTACTCCTCACCAGGGGTAATTTATTTTACAAAACATTTTTGTTTTGTTTAGAATATAATATTTTTATAGACCGCAACCAGCAGCAGCTACCGGCACTTTATCTCTTTCTCTTTTTTAATTCTGTCTGTGCTATGTTTCACAATCAGCCAATACCTTTTTTTTTTAAACAGGGTTGCAGGAGGGCAGCCATATACTGCTCCACTTACTTCTAATTGTAATTCGATAGCGCATAATCTCAAATTTGTTACGCATCACATTTTATAATATGGTAATATTGTAATGATAAGTGCCTGGCCGCTCTTGGCCTGGACTGAAGCAGATGGCAGCGGCTTCCTCATACCTCAGGTGATTAGGGAGACAGGTTTTGTGATCTGAAACTCGGAAATAGAGTCCATAAAGGGTTCGTCATCTCAGAGAGAGGAAAAACAAGTTTCAAAGTGATGTAGTGTTTAAAAGCTTTTAGATGTTTTTTTTTTTTTTGGGGGGAGGGGGGGATATTGGGTTAGAGAGGTTTCTGGGAACTCAATTTGTTTCAATATTTTATGAAAGGCAGAAACCTGTCGGAGTTCAGGCCACGGTTCCACATCGATAGCATCAAATGGACCAGCAGTGATATTTCTCATCTTTATTTCACTTCAACAGGCACCTCTTGCAATTTTAAGATGAAATAAGGTTTTTTTCACACCATTGACCTGGAAATGGAAAGTTATCTGGGTGCTAAAATGCACATTACTGTGTATAATGTATTTACCAAGTGACTAGAATTATTTGAATCAGTACACCAAAAATCATTCACCTTTGTTCACTGATTTGTTTACAAAGACAAGAAAACTTTCCATTTTGTCAATTGTTGGGCTTGACTTTTATCAAACTTTTAAAAGGCATAGTGAAAACTGAAACATTGTTCTTTATTCAGGCTATGTACGGTCTTATTGTTCTTTCTGTTTTGCTAAACCTCCCATTGTTTTTCTTTTCCAGTGGGAGGAAGTAAGCGGCTACGACGAAAACCTCAACACCATTCGAACGTACCAGGTGTGCAACGTCTTCGAGTCCAACCAGAACAACTGGCTGCTCACCACCTTCATCGCTCGGCGAGGTGCTCAGCGCATTTACGTGGAGATGCGTTTCACCGTCCGAGACTGCAGCAGCATCCCGCGAGTGCCTGGGTCCTGTAAGGAGACCTTTAACCTGTACTACTACGAGACGGACTCCGTCATCGCCACCAAAGGTGGGGCCTTCTGGATGGAGGCTCCGTATTTGAAAGTGGACACCATTGCGGCGGACGAGAGCTTCTCACAGGTGGATTTTGGTGGTAGAATGATGAAAGTGAACACGGAGGTGCGGAGCTTCGGTCCACTCTCGAAAAATGGCTTTTATCTGGCGTTCCAGGACTATGGTGCGTGCATGTCCCTGCTGTCCGTGCGTGTGTTTTTTAAGAAATGCCCCAGTGTGGTGCAGAACTTCGCAATCTTTCCAGAGACCCTGACCGGGGCAGAAAGCACCTCGCTGGTGATCGCTCGTGGGATGTGCATCCCAAACTCTGAGGAAGTGGACGTACCCATTAAGCTGTACTGTAATGGCGATGGGGACTGGATGGTTCCAATTGGGAGCTGCACCTGCAAGGCGGGATTTGAGCCTGATAACGGGAACGTCTGTCGAGGTAAGAGTTTGGGTTCCAGTAGTGTTGATCTTTGGTTCACATAAATATGTTTATTGATTTATTTAAAGGTGTTTCTAATGGATATTTTTCAGTTGGTGGAAAGCAACGGGTAGTCTTTGGTATCTTTCTTAGCTTTTCTAACTGAGAAGATTTATCTTTGTTAAAAACACTTTAAACTGTATGAATTTCCATTTTATTCCAGGTTTATGTTGTTTTAGAGCTGGACCAGTACAGTATAGCCATATTTACCAAAAATACGTTTTAGTAGTGGGCAGGCTGACTAAAGACATCTTGCTGGTTTAGCTAGTTGATAAGTGTGGACAAAATGAACCAAAACCCAACATTTGCTGGTAACCCAGTTACCAAGCTGGTCTTTTTTCATGAGCTTTAGCTCCATAAAGTTCTTTAGTAGCTTTGACTAATGAACTTTTTCTAGATTGAGTTGAGAGATATGTCCAGATTTGTGATTATTTGAGAAGATTTCTGAGCAACAGATTTTAAGTTTGAGTATCACTCTGGATCAATATGGTGATATGCACGTGTGTTTGAGATTGAAAGAGAGTGGAAAGTGGTATTGATGTTCTGTTGAATGATGCACACATTTTTTTTTCATTCTTGTCTATATTTAACCGACACACACAGACACACTCACACACATGATCATATTGTTCTCTCAAGGTCTGCAATTGGCCGATTTGGCCTTCGCTCAAGGCCAGTGGCATATTGACTCCCTCAGGACCAAACGTGTAGAGAAACGATAAGATTGATTGACAGCTATCTGTCTTGATCAATAAACAGATATGCCACTTAGTGTGTTAGGGCCTAACTTTGAGGACCATAGGTGCCTCTACACATAAAAACACACATGCACAGGTGGCAGCTTTTTTGAGTTTATTGACATCCTCTGGCAAGGTCTTCTTATTACAGAGAAATGGTCATGATGGTCCATATAGTCCCTGTTTAAGACCTTTTTCATACTGCAGACTGCTCAACTATTGGCTCTCTTGTCCTATAATATACTATATATATATATATATATATATATATAATTTAAGCAATTTTGAGTGTGGCATGGTTTACAAAGAATGGTGTGAAATGGGAAAAACATCCAGTATGCGGCAGTCCTGTGGGTGAAAATGCTTCGTTGATGCTAGAGGTCAGAGGAGAATGGGTCGACTGATTCAAGCTGATAGAAGAGCAACTTTGACTGAAATAACCACTCGTTACAACCAAGGTATGCAGCAAAGCATTTGTGAAGCCATAACACGCACAACCTTGAGGCGGATGGGCTACAACAGCAGAAGACCCCACCGAGTACCACTCATCTCCACTATAAATTGGAAAAAGAGGCTACAATTTGCAAGAGCTCACCAAAATTGAACAGTTGAAGACTGGAAAAATGTTGCCTGGTCTGATGATTCTCGATTTCTGTTGAGACATTCAGATGGTAGAGTCAGAATTTGCCATAAACAGAATGAGATCATGGATCCATTCAGCCTTGTTACCACTGTGCAGGGTGGTGGTGGTGGTGTAATGGTGCAGGGGATGTTTTCTTGGTACACTTTAGGCCCCATCGTTTAAATGCCACGGCCTACCTGAGCATTGTTTCTGACCATGTCCATCCCTTTATGGCCACCATGTACCCATCCTCTGACGGCTACTTCCAGCAGGATAATGCACCATGGCACAAAGCTCGAATCATTTCAAATTGGTGTCTAGAACATGACAATGAGTTCACTGTACTAAAATGGCCCCCACTGTCCCAGATCTCAACCCAATAGAGCATCTTTGGGATGTGGTTGAACGGGAGCTTCGTGCCCTGGATGTGCATCCCACAAATCTCCATCAACTGCAAGATGCTATCCTATCAATATGGGCAAACATTTCTAAAGAATGCTTTCATCACCTTGTTGAATAAATGCCGTGTAGAATTAATATATATATATATATATATATACATTCTTGGATTGGCTGTTATTTTGAGGTTTTGTACAGTATTTTTTTTTCACCTGGGTCTTCTTGACATGTGAAAATAACAAAATGTATTAAAGGAACAAGTGAAATTAAAAATAATATAGGTGTAAATGGACAGAAACATACCAACAATTGCATACCAACAACTGGAAGTGACGGAAAAATTATGACAAGTCGTTGTCAGATGTCTTCTGTAATGCTCAGTGATCTGGAAGAAATGATAAAGTTGTAATAAACTTAGATTAACGTTTAAAGATTAAATATGGCTGAGGTTTTGCAGGGTGTTAAGTCTGTCATCTAGATGTGGCCACAGTTTTTAAAAGCCAGTGTGTTAGCGGATTAACGATTGCGCACACAGCAAGTCACCACTAATTACTGCCGCTTTGATCTGCGAGTTCCCATAAAGGCTTTTGATGGGGTAATATATTGCAGTCTGAACATGCGCACACACATTATATTCTTATAAAGTTTCCATAAATTCCCCAGGGTTGATTTTACCAGCACAGGCAACCTGGGGTAATAAGTATTCCTTTAATGTTCATTAGTCTGTTTTTGTTGATGGTCGTCTGGTTCCAAAGCTTCCCACCCCCCTCTGCTTTCATTGGTCGATTTGGACCTGGAGAGGGTGATTAGAGGTTGATTAGAGTAATTGGTCTTTTGGGTTAATGAAGGTGTCTACGCTATTATAAATGTGTCTCAAAGGAAGTCTGAGCAGCTTTGTGTCTTGGAAGGGATTACAGCATACGACTGACTACATAGTCACATTACACACTATGTGCTGCCTACTGTTTTTTTATTTTTTTATTTTTTGTAAAACTAGTTAAAGGGAACAATAGTATGCCACATTGTCACATGACCTCATTATGCTTGTCAGATAACCTCATTAGAAACATATTTCATTTTGAGAGTTGATTATTAGAAATAAATATGACTTGTTTGCTTTTTAATTAAAAATTGTGTACACATTTCTTCAATTTTGGCAATTTGATCATAAGCCAAGACAAGAAATATGTTAATCACCATTGTTATTACTTGTACATTTGGTGTACTGCAAACACTGCAAAGTAATTTTATTACTTTTTTGTCTTATTTTCTAGTATGAAAATGGTGCTATTACGTTTTGTTTTCTGAAAAAAAATATTGAAATTAAGTGAGATTTATGCTTAAAATAAGATAAATGTCCTATGAGGCAAGAAAAAAAAACTGCAAAAGCAGGTTTATTTTTATTCCTCTGGTATATATATATATATATATATATATATATATATTTTTTTTTTTTAATTTATTTTTTTAACATAAATTTTATTAACATAAAACTGACTTAATTTGTCAAGAAACACATGTTCTTTTGGAACAAAACTAAATGCATCATGCTTTAAGAATGTTTTTAATTTTTAATGGAAAACAGGACCAAAAAATGACTAAGTAAGTGACTTTTGGCAGGAAAATTGTGTACTGTACATTGCATTCTGGGATAGTGTGCAGTTTATAATGTGCTCTTTATCAAAAAAAAGAAAAAAAAAAAAGAAAAAAAGTGGGTCATCCAGGTTTCCCATGCATATAAAACATTTAATACTTGGCACATTATAGTTACTGCAAAAATAGTACGAGTGGTATGCAAGTTTGCTGTTGAGAACACAGCCAAGGTGTCTCTAGGAAGGTTTATCTATTTTTCTCTCATTTCCCTCGTTCGCTCTATCTATCTAATGCACAGCTGGGTTTGTTATTTTGACCCTGCTCGAAGGGAGTCTGAATAATCACTGTTTATATGTCCACATATCTGTGTGAGAGTCAGATTAGATCTCACCCCGAGGGTGAGAAATGATGGCTGTCACCCGGAGTAAAATCATCATATTAATAAAATAACCTCCCCCATTAACCACAGCACTCAGCACAGAGAGGCCGTGTTGTGTTGGCTCGGCTCAGCTTTGGTTCTGCAGTAAAAGTGATTGGGACCGGCCAGGCTGGGTCGAGCCGATTGGGGTGCAGATCTGGCTCTATATTTTTCCGGCGTGTCTCTTCAGCGCTCTGACAGAGGGGTGAGAGGCCGGATGACCCCTCACAGGTTGCGGAATTGAACAGAGATACACTCACTGCAAGAGCTGTCTGAACTGACACACACCTGGAGAGAACAGACAGCTCTATACAAACACACACACACACACACACACACACACATTCATGTATAGCTTTCAAATTGGATTTTTATAACAAACTGTATATATATATATATATATATATATATATATATATATATGCAGTTTGTTATAAAAAATCCATGCAGCTATATGCACACTCGTGGGCAAATGAAACATATACTGTAGACATAAGCTGCTTTTATGTATTTTTATGCTAATTTGGGGTTTGGGCTATTGCGGTGGAATTAATTATTTTCTGTTGTTAGGAAGATGTAAACTATGACAGATACACATTTACCAAAAAAATTAGTTTATGCACATACATAAATAAAAATAAAATAAATACATTTAAAAAAAAATTATATCTATATATTTACTGGCTTACTTCCATTGCGTTCCTTTTTATTTATTTATTTATTTAATTTTTGTGCTATTTTCCCAAGCAGTGACACTGTTGTTTTCATTGTACATACGAATAGTTTTGGTTCAATATAGAATTTGTATACACTACAGATCAAATGTTTGGGGTCAGTAAGATTTTTATGTTTTTGAAGGAGAAATTGAAATGTCTCGCATTAAAAAAAAAAATCAACAATTTTTTTTATCAAACACTTCTAATTTAATATATTTTAAAATGTAATTTTATTGTGATTTTCTGCACCTTTACTCCAGTCCACAGTAGTGTATCTGCATTTATTTTATATTCTATATGTGATATTATTATTATTATTATTATTATTTTTTTTTTTACATAAATTAAAGTAACAACAGACTTACACCTTTAGATTTACATACACAATGGACAGTTCGACACAGTCAAATAAACACGCAAAAAATGCATGCGTTGCAGCTCTATACACACACAAAAGACCATTGAAAAACACTCGC